TAGTTTATAATAATAGGTTTTACAAAAAGTCGATTAAAAAAAAGTCGATAAAAAAAAGTCGATTTCAATCGCAGAAACGCAAATCTAGCCCGTTACACTCGCAAGATCTCTTTTTCTATATTAATAAGCGCTTAATCAAGTTTTTGGTATTCCTCGATAGCCCAAGCTCAAATGGATATACTTAATCAACGTTACTAGCGCAGGTCAAATGACCGCATTTTTAACAGTTTACGGTCTTAGCCAGGATCCACATTTAGCTCAACATTATATTCGATTAGATAAAAGTTTGGTGATCATCAGCGTCAATCTCGTGAATCTCGCCCGGCCCAACTCTCCGGAAGGCCGAGCATAAACCTTATCTCCATCCGACAGAACCGAGCTGCTAAATAAAGATAAACCCGGGGAAGAGCCGTACCAATTCATACTATGTATATGGTCAAGGGGGTGGCGCTGCTACCGAGCAATACTGTAATTACAACTACAACTTCAACAATGAATTAAGACGAAACAGTCATCTCCGAGTAAGTTCTACGGACATCTCTTGGAGGGAGGAGAGTCTCTAATAAGCGAGACTGAAAATACGAAGACATTAACCCAGATTTGCTGTCGGGGAGGGAAGCAACTTACAGTATCTATAAAGATGCGATCCTCACCATCCCTCCCATCTTCCCTCCTCATGGGCACTTGTCTTGACCCAACCCACAGTCGCTTCACCTCACACTCCTTTCTCATTTCACTACCCAACCTCAACCTGCAATCGCCATCTGAAGCTTCAAGATGCGATTCTCAGCCTCCATCCTCGGTGCTCTCAGTGTAGCCCATCTCGCGGCAGCAGCGCCCATCTGGGGTGCTCTCATTGGAGGCGCCGCCTCTATAGTATTACCATTACTGCCATCCAAAAAAAAGGAAGAACCACAGCCAGACACCCAGCCCGACGACACACTCTCCACACCTCAATACTTCTCTCTCAGCTCCTTGAAGTCTGGCTTTGCGTTCGACCGTGCCTCGTTATCCGCGTCAAGTTCCAACCTCTACACCAACCTCCTCTCTCAAGGAGCAAGCTGCGAGAACGGCGATGATCCAGGTTTCGCCACACTCACGATTGACCCCGACCGCGTCTTGTATCTGTATACTGGGTCCGGCCCTGCCCAACAGTTCTATGTCGACCGTTCCAAAATGGGTCAGGGCAAGCTGGGTTACACGACTGGTGATCAGTCTCCCCCCGGGAACGCGGAGAGTCAAGGATGGGAGCTTGTTGACGGCATTCTGACCTTCGATGGTGCGGGTCTGATTGCATGCCCCAGCAACACCATAGAAGATGCCTGGACTGTATGGGTATCCTCCGGCAATAAGGAACCGGGGGGCAACGCCGGCTGCACTACCTTCGATGCAAGAGCGAACTACCTCGCGGAGGGCGACCTAAGCCTATGTACCTATACCGAATAGGTCGACGACCAGATGAGACCCCTAAATAGGAGTTCGGGATGGGTGTAATCCGGAATGCGGGATTCGATTATTCTCCCCCCTCTTTTAGATAAATTCCAGCTTGTCCACGGTGGTTACGAGTCAAAACACGGTAAAATTCCCACCGCGGCAGTCTTGCAGTCCTACACTCATTTCAGAGAGGTGGAGAGAGTCGGTTTTGCAGCCTAATGTACTACACCGATGTCACAATGCAGAGTTATGGCGCCATTCATTTGAGCTCCGCGATGGTTTCGACGGAGAGGACCATGAGTCCACCTACCGGTACACATTCATTGGTTTGCCCTTCACTCGGCGATTACAAGGCTGCGTCGTGGTTATGCAGCAGCGTAGATCGCTTTAGTTTTGTGTCCTAGAGCCTAGAAGATAAATCATAATAAAAATAAACACCTTTTGAAATCCAGTCCGCTTTCTTATATTATGTGCAGCCCAGATCAAAGCGCTAGCCAGTAACCTCTCCCCTTCATCCATCTAACTAATCCCACCCAGCCGCGCTCTAGCCGACGTAGCCAAGTCTCCCGTGCCAATCACACTATGGTCCTAGCATGAAAAACACAAGTGGCTGACCGCTCATGATTCAGTCTTGCTCTGGCTCTGAGTCTTGCGTTCTGCTCTTCCAGCGGCAGGTTCTCTCTTCTCCTGGGCAGGCTTTTTGTCGCTATCGGTGCCCTTTAGGTGACCACCCTTTTTCTTTTTGCCGTTGGCAGCAGCCGACTCTGCATCGTCGTCGCTAGCCTTCTGCTTCTTAGTGTTCTTCGCGCCAGCATCCTCTTCCTCGTCGTTGCTAGCATCGGCTTTCTCGTCCGCCTTGCGCTTGTCGCCAGCTTGAGCTTCCGCGCCACCCTCCTCCCCATCTTCGTTCTCCGACTCCACCACCCCCCCAGCCTTCGCATCCCTTGAATCTTCCTCCGGACTCTTCTCTGAATCTTCCTCTGGACTCTCTTCTGCATCACCCTCTGCTTTGTCGTCGTCTTTCGCCTCCTCTCTCTTGGCTTCCGAGGACGTGCCATTGGACCTGGAGGCTTTGCTATCGACCTGCAACTCGCTTGCCTTCTTCACGACATCGTTCCCGGATCTCGCGATGTGGACGGCCGGGTTACCCTCTTCGCCGTGCTTGGTGATTTCATTGCCCTTGTGGGAGGTCACGGAGACATCGCCTTCCTTGACCTCGGCTGCGACTCCGCTGGGGTGGCTTCCCCCCCAGTTCCAGGAGACTGGGGAACGAAAGAGAGTTAGCTCTTGATACTACTGAGCCACCGAAAAAAAAAAGAAGAAAAAAAAAAGAAAAAAGGAGACTCCATGATGCTCCCTAGACACAGGTGACGCGCTTGGGACTCAAGATAGATAGATGCTTTCCAGATGTTCGAAGGCATGACGACTGCTAAGAAAGCTAGGAGTCACTAGTTGAATGCGCCGCCGATTTTGAGCGAAGGGCGAAGTACGATAATGGCAATCGACCGGAATTCCAGACTCGAGATGCGTGATGGGCAGAGTGGCAAGTGAGCCAGATACCTTTGATCGGAATGAGAGGAGCACTGCACCTTTATCTCCCTCTTGGATCTTGTCGGCGGGCATGACCAATAACTTGCTTGTATAGACTTTGGGCAATAAGGAGGGATGGTTGGTTGTGTGTGAATTTTGTTTGTTTTGTTTGGTAGTGAGGTGGTCGTATGGGGTGGGGGGCGGCACCAAGGGATAAACAATTAGCGCGACGCCGGAAGGGATACTGGTCTTGGTTACTTTAGTGGAGCGATGAATAAGAAGTAATTTTTTCGGATAAGATTGCTAAGATGAGATAGAAGTCGAAAGTTGGAAAAGAAACAAAGTGACGTTTCGAGGAGCAGGAGCAGGAGCGCGAGTGCGCTTGGTCTCCTGATCGTTAGTTGCATTATGAGTCTGGAATCCGAAGTGTCTTTGACGTCAATGACTTCGACGTACTTAGGTTAAAGGCTTAACGCGAGGTGAAATATCCTTTCTATATCTTTTACACAAACTTAATAAGCTACAAAAATTCAAGTTCATTTGCTTCTCTGTGAAGGGAGGAAATTCACTTAGATCTATAATGACTAACAGATCTGCTTCCGCGTTAATGATCGTAGATAAACTAGCAACGTATCTCGGCAGTGAAGGTCCATACAAATGTTTTCGAGGACGGAAACGCGAGTACAACGCTATATCCCGAGTACCCTCTCCCATTCGACATACCTCTCGGACCCTATATGACCAGACGCATGGAGAAGATCGAACTCGGCCCGTGTAGACTTGGTTGTAAGCCGCAAGGGCCACGGTTCGATGATGGTATTCTTCGACTTCGCCACGAGCCCAGCGGCTTTACCTATCTCTGGAAAATCACACTTCTGCATGAACTTCTCAAACACCTTGTCGAAGTCCCGGACCATCAAGCGCGCATCGTTGAACCTCATAAATTCTGCATCAAACATATGTCCAGGCTGAAACTTGGCTGGATCCGTTGGCAAGTAGTTCTGTAGGCGAATCGATTCTGATTTGATAGTAAGCAGACTGTCCGCTTCGCTGAATTCTTCGTGGACGGCGTTTAAAAACAGTGTCAGCAGAGTAGCACAGGGGTTGTGACTCTTGTCTTTGAGCAACGGCCCAAAGGTTCCGATGATGGTTTGTGGACCTAGATATCCACGGTCCCCAATGTTAGACACCTAGAAAATATCAGTTCCTATGTTAATGAGGGAACCGGAGCTTTTGACATACCTCGATTCTATCGAAATAGGGACAATCCATCCCACGTTGCCTCAGAATCCCAGGGAGATCCAAGGCATCAACCTGGAATAATTGAAAGTGGACCGGTAATCGAGAAACCTGGTTGCAGAATTGCAACAGTAGGTCTTGCAGATAGTTGAACAGACTACCGTAGATGTCGTTCTTTGCTAGCGGTGCTAGACGCATCACGTCCTTGATGTTCCAGCCTCCAAGTGGATCCGCAGAGTCCATCATCGGCCAGAAGTCTGTTGTCTGATAGAAGGTCCTTGCTCGGTGTTAGTAGTGTACTGTGTACCCATTCAAAGACCGAGGGACTTACGGATTGGGCGTGTCAAACTCGCTACGAGGATTCCCAAAAGGTAAGAGTATTCCGTCCCTGCGGAATTTTGTCGTGCAGACGCGCCACGGAGGCGGTCGTGTGTAATGCGCCCGATCAACATAGTCGCGTCGCTCAGGTGGAAGTGTCGTTGCCATCATGATCTTCTGGGCTTGAGCGGACGATAAGCCATCTGGTACCTGCAGATAGGATGGAAGGCAATCCCACAGTCCTTTCGGCAGCACCAGCCGTAGTGATCGTGCGCCACGGCTCCAGGTCTTCGATTGAAGGGCGGCAGCAGGTCTACCGCGCGTCTTTGAACATACCTCCTGGAACAGGGGCAGGATCTTATCTTGCAACGAGCAAAGCATCTGCTTGGGTATGAGGGCGGAATACCAGATGTGTAACATGATGTTCGCTGCCTCATCGGGATCGAAGTATAAAGAAGTCAAGAGGATTATGACATTCCGTGCTACTATGTCAAAGTCCCTATCGTTGATCACGACCTCACACTGTCCGGAATAAGAGTGTGGGAGTCCTGCCAGCGATTTGACCACGTTTCTCACATCTCCTGATGCTTGGAATTGTCAGTAATACACACAGTAAGATAGTTCAGGTCTTACCAGCAAAGAGAAGAGAGAAGCGTTCTGGCAGGTTTGCAGCTTCATTATGACAGTGGTTAACGACATCTATGGCTGGAACATTACCCCAGAGGTACTTCTGCTTGCCATATTTAGTTTGTCCAAACGCGAACGGGCCGCTGTCTCCGGTGATGAAGGCGGGTTTTCGACCTTCCCGTTGCCATGAGGGTTTCCAGGTCGACTTCATCAACGGAGATTTACAGTCAACTTTATGGGAGACCCAGTGTGCTACCTGACACTCCTTACTGCAGTACTATACGACATGTCAATCTCAACAATTACTATACAACTTTCACTTGCTTGAGAAAGCACAAAGGGGCCTGCTTACCTGGATCAAAAAACATCCTTTGCAGACCTTGGGTGCTAGTTTGGGGCATGGCGATTGCTTGCCATCAACCATGGCTTCCGCATTACCACATATGAGTAGAGTTGAGTGAGTAGAGGGAGACGTCATTGAGGCAAGAGACTTCACTTCAATATTTTGGGCAGAATCAAGCAAAGAGCGAGCTTTCAACCTTTTGAATAGAGCACAGATAGATAGCTGGGGAGAGCCATCATGTTCGTGGAGATCAGACCACGGAAGGGTTAAATCGAACAAGTGTGGTAGTACAAGCGGAAATGTGCGATACTCGTGGTTACCTCTTATTTGCCGGCCAGCTTTTGATGCTGAGGAAAATAAGTGGACGCCACCTGGTTTTAAAGAGGTAGCGCTGCATGCAAAAGGCTGCTCATATTGACGAGGATCCTGAAATTGTTGAGGTTCGTCTGCTCGAGGCTGGAGGTGTTTGCCCGCCTTTCGCTAATCGTCGGCTCGCTTAGGTGGGCCTCAGCTGAAGGATTGGTAATAAAAGTGAAAGGGTTGTTATATTGTTTAAAAGAAAAGAATCATCAGGGAAGGAGATGACTCTTCTGCTACTTGGTTTGTGCTCTAATGATGACACGTAGCATAGCCCTACGACATGTCCCTCTTATACTAGTTCTCGTCCCGAGAACTGAACTCCTATGTCCTGTTCAACTGATACTCTCGAGAACTGAACTCTTATGTCCTGTTCAACTGATTGTCACCAACGGTGACCCAAGATAAATTCCAGTAGTTGTGGTGGTGATTAGTCATTCAATCACGTGAAATTTTCTATACGGATTTAAAAGATTTGTGAGCGTGCCAAGACTTTTATTCCATGTCAATCTATTGAACTTTTTCCGGAAGAATTAAAAAAAGAAGGGGGATTAAAGTAATTCCGCCGGCACCGGGATTTTTTTTTTCCGTAATATA